TATATATATATATATATATATATATATATATATCCAAGAACAATTTCTTTAGTTCATAAAGGATTGACATAAAATAAGATAAAAGAAAATGAGTCTTCTGTACTGTTGACTTAAAATTCACATTTTGGGGGGTTTTTTGGAGATTAGCACCTCCTTGATATGGCATTTAATCATAATGAGAGTGATGCATGTATATCAAAGGAAAATGGAACCAATAGATGAAATTCTGAGTTTTGTGAAGTCAATGGCAGGACACCTCGTGACTTCAGCAAGTCAGGATTTTCTGATAATGTAGAACATTTTAAAAATAAATCAGTGTCATACCCTTCGCATCTTCTCTTTCATTTGCAGTAGATTGCTTATCATACTACAGTAGGGTTAGATTGTCGTTGTAACTATGATAGTCCAATGATTTTGTAAGGAACAAGATTTTTTAAAGCAATATCTTTTATTGAATCAACCATTCTAAACTGTGTATGGTTGGTTCAATAAAAGATAATTTCATAACAGAGAATATATAGTGAAAAAGTTCCAAGACAATACCCGCCATATGTTTGAAGGTTAATACAGGTTGTTTTAGTGGGTTTTTCTCCATCAAATCACTTTACCGGGGGTCTTATACGAGTGATTTTTTTTTCCTATTTATATTTACCAAGATTTAATATGCAACATAAACAATATTGACTGTGATTACAATATTTAATGTCATACAATATGGATCACTGTTGTGAACCAGTATTTTTTTTTAAGTTGAAATAGTCTTACTACACCATATATCCTTAAAAATAAGCATTTAGTTTCAGACACTGGTCTGAAACATCTAGGGTTAAATGATATAATAGTTTTTAGAAATTAGACCTAACTTGTGTACCATTTTCTTTATTTATTCTGCATTTTACTTTATTATTATTCTTCATTGTACATGAATGAAAACAGTCGCCTTTATTTTAAGGGTACATTTTCTCTTGTTTATATGCTGCTTGATTAACTTACAGAGTCTGTTTATCTATCCAAGGATGAAAAAATATTGTTATAGGGAAAATATAACTGGATACCCTATTTCTTAGTTAGGTTCTGATCCTTTAATCAGATCCAAATAGTCTCCCTCTTGTGCTTGCATGTAACATCTATTGATTTGTAATGGAACTATGAGAAAACACAAGAAGAACATGCTTCTTCAGATCTGACTCCAAGATCAGGACCATAAACACCATCTTCATTGAACACAATAGGAGTTTTGTTTCAGGGCTTGTCTCAGATAGGGAAATTTGCATAATTGTAATTACAGTGTGGTAGTTACAAGTGAAAATCCCAAGAGTTAATGTGCTGTACCTCTATAGGAAAAAAGGATTTTTGGATCATCTTACCTCAATAATAGGGTTTTGCCTGAAGCCCTACCTCATACTAGGACAATGCATACACACTGTAGAACAGAGCTGTACTACAATAATTTCCCTACTGACAAAGCCTTAAATAGGAATTAGAAACGGGTCCAAAACATTCCTTTAGGCCTATTTGACACGACAAGTAGTAATTGCTAACAAAATGGAAGGACACAGCAGTACCTTATAGACAAGTAAAACCAATTAGATCCATTGTGCAATATCTTGCTGGTAATTTAAAACAGTGGCAGTTCATACTAATGTGTATTTGCATACTTCAGGTCTTCCATAAATGGAAGATACGGAATATTCTTCCTTAGGTGTATGAATCTACTAAGATTAAAGAAATGGGAAGAAAAGAAAAGAGAATTCAGTTTTCAGAACGATTATTTCAGCAATGCTTAAAGAACGGAAAATATAGGGGTAGCTGAAGTAATCCTTCTAAACTGGCTAACATTTTTTTATTATTATGATTCTATTTCTTTTCATCAGATAATCATTTTTGTAGATATAATCCATATAACAGTTCAAATGCCTATTTTTTTAATAATTTTATTATACATATTTCTCAGGGGTATGTCTTCATGCAGATTTTCCTTAGATTTGACTTTAAGATCAGAAATGTTATTATGCAGAGCCCTTTATCTCCCATGTTTATCTCAGAATCTTTAGTCCTAGGTGTATTGTAGAGTTTCGATAAGATTTAGTATACATATGACATAACTCATGGCCAGGGATCCTGGTTTTCTCTGATAAAAACTAATCCCAAATTATCTGATTGAATAAAAAGCAACCCCAAATCCACATTTTTCCATGATTAAAATGAAACACCACATCCACACACACACACACACACACACAATATTAGTGGTATTTCATTTTCATCATGGAAAAATGTGGATTTGGGGTTATTTGTTTTTTAATCAGAAAATTTGGAATTATTTTTCTATCACAGAAAACCCAGAACCCTGGTCATTATATATATATATATATATATATATATATATATATATATATATTAGTTGTGTTTCATTTTAATCCCCCAAAAATGTGGATTAGGGGCTATTTTTTATCAGAGAAAACCAGGATACCTGTTCATAACCTACTTAAACGTTTGAGAATTAGTCACTTCCATATGTAATTCTCATTAGCAAAATGCCGTTTTCTGATTTTTGTAGAGAATAATACTGCAAAACCTTAATTTGTACTTGCTTAACAAAATTGTTTTCTTCTCCCATAAAAGGCAAGGTAGTGGTTGTTATTGTTGTTGGGTTTTTGGTTCGGTTTGGACTTTTTGGTGGTTTTTCTGTTTTGTTTTTTGTGTGTACGTGTGCGTTCATGCTATCTCTTGTTGAACTGACAGTTTAGTTGGGAGAGCTGTTGCACAAGTTTTCATGTACAAAGTGTCCTCTCAGTTTTCACGTAAAGCCTGACCATTAATCAATCATTATAGGCTGTTATTGCTTAAGAACCTTAATGGTAAGGCAGTTTATAACACTGAAGACAGAAATCCAAGTCCTCCAATATTTATGTATGAACTTTATTAGTATGAGTAGTGACATTGGACTCACTGGGAGTACTTGTGGAATTAGGTTCTTACAGGCATGTTTGCAAAATAGAACCTCAAATACAGCCATAACACTTAGGCTAGGTACAGACATTCAGAAAGCCTAAGCTGTAAGTGGAGTAGTTTAGATTGGTAGCAAAAAGCATTCACATTTGCCCTTTGGTGTGGGAGGGGCAAACCTTAGACAAGGTGCCACCATTTTTAAACCACTCTGTGTATGCCGAACTTCTGTTCTGTTATGGGTATAGACCGGTTTCCTATCATTTATACCAGTGAAAGTGTAATGTCTGTACCTGGCGTGAGAAACCACAGTCATCTTTTCTATGAACCTCCATTTAATTGGGAATTTTATCTCATTAAAGACTTCATGTTGGGGTGTACTGTAATCAGCACGCGCACACACACACACACACACACACAGACACACACACACACACACACACACACACACACACAGAGTGGTGTTTCATTTTGATTATAGGAAAATGTGGATTTGGGGTTACTTCTTTTAATCCAAATATTGGGGATTTTTTTATCAGCAAAAAAGAGGATCCCTGGTAATCAGTTATAAAGAAGAGAAAAATGTTGTACTTTGCAACAAAGCGTTAAAGCATTTTCAGGCTAGACTAGTAGAATTTGCTGTTGAACTCATGCAGACAAGGAATGATTAGGTCCATAT